TAAGATGACTATTAATAATGAGTTTCAGTAAATTTGCAAACTAGATGAAATGGATTTTTTTTACAGGAGATGAAAAACGTACCATATTGACTCAAAGAAAGGAAGAAATGAAAAAGAGCAGAAATGAAAGAAGAAATTGAAAACATAGTCAACAAGCCACTCTTGAGAGATTTCAGTAATTTTACAGGCAAATTCTGCAAATCTTCAGGACGAACAAAAATAATTTCCTAATAAAGATAGATAGGGGTGCCTGGATGGCTTAGTTAGTTGGGCATCCAGCTCTTGGTTTCTGCTCAAGTCGTGATCGCCGGGTCGTGAGATCAAGCCCCACATCGGCGCCATAGAGTTTGCTTCAGATTCTCTCCCTCCTTCTCCTTCCCTGCCCCTCCCCCCCGTGCGCATAAATTAATTAAATCTTTACTCTTAAAAAAAGATTGTTTTTTAAAACTCCTTATCAATCTCAGCAGTATAATAAAAGAATAACCATCTTTTAGACCCAAGAAGAGTTTACTTAGTAAGGTAAAGGTGATTCAAAATTAAGAAATTCATTAATCTAATTTACTTCATTCACTATTCAAAGGGGAAAATTCATATTCTTAATAGATTCATATTCTCAATAGATTTTTTAACTGATAGAATTCAACAGTGCTCGCTTCGGCAGCACATACACTGATAGAATTCAACATTTTGAAAAACTAAAGAAAATTTTCAAACATACTTAAGTGTTCAGAGGAAGGGGACGCCTGCGTGGCTCAATCAGTTAAACATTCAACTCTTGATTTCAGCTCAGGTCATGATCTCAGGGTTGTGAGATGGAGCCCGGGTTTGGGCTTAACATTCTCTCTCCCTCTCCCTCCCCCCAGCTTGTGTCCTTGCTATCAAAAAAAAAAAATTTTTTTTGTAGAAAGGAAGGTATAACAAAGTCCGTATGTTAATGACACAATCCAACAATTATCAGTATTTTGCTAATATTTAATATTCAGATTTTATTAACACTTTTTGCCTTTTCTCACACTCTCCTATTCCACCATGGCTCAGCAGGGCATAAATCGTCAAGACTAACTACTCCCTCCACTGAACATTCCAGCACCTAGTAACTGAGTGAAAACCATTGCTACTCATTTAGAAATTTTAGCACTGAGAGGAGATAGGTTGCTCAAAGATTTTATAGGAATAGCATACATTTCTTGTTTATCCAAAGTTCTAAATGATTCAAGATGTCAGCATTACTAAACCACATGTAAGGTTTCCAAGAAACCATACAAGAAACTCTAATATTAAACAGAGGAAAAATTAAATAGATTATGAAGCTAAGTTGAAACTCTACGAAGATGAATTGAAACATGGAACACTGAGAAAAGAAAGGAAGAATTGTAAGTGAGGAAAATGCTTAACAACCATGACTAGTCCAAGAAATACGAAAAGAACATAATCATCCAGCATTATTCAGCGTGGAAGAACAAACTAGAAAGATTACAACTGTATACAGTGCTGTAAATTTTAATACAGTGTCAGTCACATGCACCTCTCATCTTGTCTGATAAAAGACTTCCGTGTTCAAAAGAAGACAATGCCTTTTATATATATAATCCTTTCAGGAACCATCAGTAAGGTGTAAGCCCAGCAATAGGTGCATGGATGAGCAAATTGTGTACATCTAGACAATGGAATACTGCTCAGAAATTTTTAAAAAAGGAATGGATGATTGATATACATAACCATCGTGAAATAATCAGGCTGAGTGAAGGAAGCCAGACAAAAAAGATTCCATTTGTATAAAATTCTTAAAAATGCAAATTAACAGATGGTGGGAGAAAGTAGATCAGTGATTGTTGAAAACAGGCAGGAGCAGATGAGGGAGGCCTGCAGGAGGGAGTCCTCAAGGGTGTGAGGACGCTTGAGGTGGATAATGCAGTCATGATTGTAGTGGTAGTTTCACAGGTGTGTGCGTGCCAGAACTTATCAAATTATGCCCTATAAACAGTATGTGCAGACTGTATGTTTGTTCCACCTTAATAGAGCCATTTTCAAAAATGTGTAAGAACAGACTTGGATGTCATTTGCCTTTGATTTCTGAAGGCTGTCTTTAGTCATGAGCAACCCTACGATGTTCTCTCAGAGGAGTTTGCTCACTAAATCATTAAGTCTTCCCAGGATTTACAAACATGAGGTGTGTACAAGCAAATAAAATGTGTTAACTAATAAGATAGGCAGGAGGGGTGGGTGGCACCTGGGTGGCTCAGTCAGTTGGGCAGCTGACTCTTGGTTTCACTCAGGTCATGATCTCAGTGTCCTGGGATCGAGCCCCGCAGCAGACTCCACGCTGAGCTCAAGTCAGCTTGAGAGTCTCTCTCCTGCTCCTTCTGCCCCTCCCCCCCACTTGTACTCTCTATCTCTTGGTAAAATAAATAAATGATAAGATAAGCAGGCACAACTTATTTTGTACTATGTAACTAATAGAAGAAATTATGCTTAACTCCGTAAAACTGTCTTCTTCCAGAAACCTCCAGCACACATTATACATATGGGCAAAGTGCCATCAGTCTTCTCGTTAAAGTCATGAAGAAGTCAGAGGTACCTACAAGTACTGCTACTTTTCAGTATTTACAGATCTTCTTGGCCAGTGAAATAAGACCAAGGCGAGGAAGCATCTTGGACTTGGAAAGGTACAGAAAGTAAACGGACAAGTGTGACTATTTATAGACCGTATGATCATCCGCCTAGAAAACCCAAGAGGATCAGTAGAAAGACTACTAGAATTAATGAGAGAAGTCAGCGGGGAGGCCAGATAGAGTACCCTTAGCCTTCCTGTGCACCAAAATAACTACTTAGAAACTTGAAGTGGGGAAGTATTTACAACGCAAAAACGGATCCATAAAATACTCAGAAATAAACCTATCAAAAATGTGCAAGACCTGTTTGAGGAAAGTCTTTAAAATCTACAGAAGAGAGGCTCTCAGTGAACACGTATTTCATGTACTGATTGGGAAGACCCAGTGTTGCAAAGATGTTGGAAAAGTAGTCCCTTGAAACCCGTTGACGTTACCACGTCACAGTCCTTCCTTCTGGGAAGCTATTGGGATTTTTTTTTGTTAATGAGGCAAGTTGCATCAGTATCTCTTAGAAAACAATTGCCTGGGGCATGTCCTGCTCCCAGCACCTTTGTTTGGAGCCTGTACTGGCTTGTCCTTGCCCCTCAGTGTCCTGAATGAAGGGAAACCATCATGTCTCTGCTGCAATGGCACAGATGCCTGGAGGAGCCCCAGGTTTCCACCCCGGGGGCATTAAAGGGGGCTTGTCTGCCTGTGGTGCCCATAAAACATGGCTGTGAGCTAGACAGATGTCTGTCTCCACCCTTTGAACAAGTGAGCCGCCCCAGTGTGGGCATCCTGGACTGCTCCGGCGGGGCACTGTGGACGGGAGTTGTGAGCGTTGTTCCGGCTGTGGATGAAAGGACGCTAAACACTTGACCGCGTCTCTCTTGCACTCCTGGAGCTACATCCTGGGATAATTAAAAGGGCTACTCCAGAGGACTCATCCTGATTTGGCAGGTACTCAAACGGATGTCATTTCTCATAAACCTATAAATTCAATGTAGTCCTACTCAAAATCCCAACATAGTATTTCTGGACCTAGAAAAACTGATTCCAAAATTTAACTGGAGGAGAAAACAGACATGAACAACCAAAAACAATTTTTTTTAAATTTGTGAAGAGAACTTCACCTACCCAATATAAAAACATATACTAAAACTATAATCATTAAAACAAATTCCAGGGGCACCTGAGTGGCTCAGTCAGTTATGTGTCTGCCTTCGGCTCAGGTCATGATCCTAGGGTCCTGGGATCAACTCCCACATCGGGCTCCCTGCTCAGCGAGGAGCCTGCTTCTCCCTCTGCCTGCCGCTCCCCCCTCCCCGCCACTCGTGCTCTCTCTCTCTCTCTCTCTCTCTGACAAATAAAATCTTAAAAAAAAAAGTCCAGTAGAATATAAGAATTAGTAATAGTAGGAAGAGATAAATCTACTGCTGGAATAGAAGAACACATCCAGAATTCAATCCCAAAGTCCTATTTAAGGTTCTTTAATGTAAGCTTTGGTATTTTTTGCTTTTACTTCACCAACATTTGAATGACAGCATCAAACAGAAAAGTGCACTCGGCAATTTCTCGTTCTTACGTTGCTTTTATGCTTCTCTCCTTCAGCCATTCTCATGGTCCGCAGAAAAAGGGGAGGTTGAAGGGCGTAGACCTTGTTTGCAATGGCTTGTGGTCCACTGGGACAGGCCGGGGGACTGTCCCTGCAGATGGCAGGACAGATCAGAGCAGGCCAGGGTCCCCAGCCCTCCCTTGCCTCCTGGGAATAATTGAGCAACACTAAGTAGCAGGTGGGGATCTGGGTGCTTTGCACATATTGGAGCAGCCTAACTTCTTCAAGGTTTCACAGCTAGTTAAGGCTTGGACCTGTCAGTCAGTGGCGTCTCAGAACCTGACGGCCTCCCAGGACTTCCGTCCTCCCTCTTGGGACGTTTCCTCTTACTGCCTTGTTAGCATGCCTGCCATCTTGACCTGGCTTCCTCCCACATGAGTGCTCTGGCCCAAGTGCTCACACAGTCATGCCTTGTGGGCATCCCTAACTCAGCTGTCACCTGGGACTGTTCCCTGGCAGTTCACCCCACAGGGGACATCAGGGCTGCAAAATGCCCTCATTGTAGCTGCCACTGCCATGGCCTTCCGTAGGTGATGTCAGTGTTTGTCTGAGTCCTCTCCTGACCTGCAAGCACCTTAGAGCAGGGACCCCGCCATTCGTCCTTTTATTCAGTGATTGGCAGATGCTAAACAGGAAATGTTGGCTCTAGAAATGGATGATAAGCACCAAATTTTGCCAGAATTCTCAGAAATGACCTGGAAAGAGTCATAATTATGCCTGTTCAGCGATCCAGACAACTGACTCTCTGGCCTTGTGTGGTGGTAACTGGCCCCCTTTTGCTTGCACGGTTGCAGCCCATGAGATCTGAGCGGACGGAGATGCGGAAACGGCAGATGCCTGCAGCCCAGGAGACCACGAGCTCCACGCCAGGCCAGCCCGGGGCGGGGGACCGCGGGTCCAACACCTGCTGCTTCTGCTGGTGCTGCTGCTGCAGCTGTTCCTGGTAAGGTCGGGCCTTTTCCCCGTCATGCCCTCCTGACGGGCAAACGGTGTCCCTGAGTAGTGCCAGCTTATGATTAACTCTCGAGGCATTTTTGGTTCTTTTTTTTAAATATTTATTTGAGAGAGGGAGAGAGCACGAGTGGGAGGAGCAGAGGGAGAGGGAGAGAGAATCTCAAGCAGACTCCATGCTAAGTGTGGATCCCAATGTGGGGCTCAAACTCACGACCCTGAAATCATGACCTGAGCTGAAAGCTTGAGTTGGACACTTAACTGACTGAGCCACCCAGGTGCCCCCATACATATTTTTAAACAACTACTATATGCCTGACACTGATTTGGGATCTGTGAAGGACAACAACAAACACACACACACACACACACACACACACACACACACACGAAGGGGCTCTGTATTCCAGCTCAAGGGATTTCTATTCAAATCCCTGAAATCAGGTTAGTGTGTTAAACAACTAAAGAATAGTCTAAGGCCACTGGTGATCAAATATTAATATTTGGGCAGAAACAATAACTAGATGGTTAGAAAGGAGTGAACTCAAGGCAGTGTACTTGGTAATAAAGGCTTTGTAGAGGAGTTAGAATTTAAGGTGGGTCTTAAAGGTTAAGGTTAAGTAGAGGGCACCTGGATTTTATCTTCTGCTTTTCTTTCATGAATTTCATGTTTTCAAAAAGAGAAATGTCAAAATAAATGCTTACCAGAAGAATATAAAAATATAGGCTAACTTACTGGTGTACAGTAAGATACACAGTCTTTGCTTCAAAAGAGAGATACACAACTTGAATGGAAAATATCCTTGACCATTTGAGTCATTGTCAAAGGTCTGGAGGAATGTATAGAGTTTATATCTAGAAATCATAGAAACGTTAGGTGGCATTTCTGAAATCTTGGCTACAAGAAGTGCTTATGCCCACCAAATGTGTGCCTAACTTCAGGCAACTAAAATATTGTATGTTTATGTGGTCTTGACCACAAGTTGGACCAAGACCTCACTCCCCAGAAGAGAAGTTGACCAAGTGATAGTACAGCTATCAAAAACAGTGACAGGACTGTTATAATTGGGGCGAAGCAGGTGGAGGCTGACATTAAATGTCCAGGAAAATTTGGTCTCTTGCTTGATTTGAGCTAGTGTTAACTTCCAAGAAGTTCCCATCCAGTAGATGGGACCCAGCAGTACCACACTCTGAGGCCTGATGGAATCATGATGGTGGGTGCTTGGCCTGTTCAGAGCAAAACCCCAGATGGCAAGTGGGAATATGAGGGACATGGGGCTGGCAGGAGCCAAGCGGTCTGGCACTCCAGCAGGGCTTCAGCCCCGAGTAGGCATCTAAAGGACTTGGCAGGAATCCGGAGGAGAGGCCTGTGTTTGCACACTGTACACACGTGCGTGTCCAGGACCCTCCCTAGACCGGGAGGATACCCACTAGTAATGACGGGGTTTCATTTCAGCCCCTCTTCCAGTCCTTCACTCTGCTAATCAGTTTCAGTGAGGTAATTAGAGGTGATTGTGTGAGAGATGGGCAGAGATATCCTGGTGTGGGGAGACTCCTGTTGACCCTGTCACCCTCCCTTCTCTGCTGCCTCAGAGGGACACAGGAGGCCGAGATCGTGGCCTGAACAATGTGCTCCACCGATGGTGTAAGCATAGCAGATGGTGGCCTGCTGTTTCCAGAGCAGGCTCCTTCTACTGGCACCCAACTAGGGTGAATAAATTACGGAGCTGTGCTTAGACATAATCATCATCATAGCCAACACTCCTGCAGCACATATTTTGTGTGTACTTAACAGACAATAGAGCAATGAGAAACAATGTTGAATTGTTATATTGTACACTGAAATTCATATAACACTGTATGTTCATTATGCTTCAATTAAAAGAATACAATGGAGCAATGTCTTCAAAGAACTGGAGAAAAGTAATGGAAAACTTAGTCAAACTATAATTCAAGAGTTGGGGGTAAAACAAGACATTTTCAGACATACAAAGGCCAAGAGAGCTAACTGTCTTCAGACCTACCCTAAAAGAACAAGAAAGGGTATACTTCAGGAAGAAAAAGTGAACCCAGAGGACATGTCATGGGAAACAAGTAACAATCATGGACGCAAAACTGATCAAATATAGCTATAAAACATCATATTTAATTTTAAAAAGAATCCAACATTGTAAGAAAATAATCTCATGTTCATGGTAGACAGGTAACTTCAGACTTCTTTAGGGAAAAAAATTACATTTTCTTTCCAAATTAATGGTATTCTTGATTAGTCAGAAGTATAACAGTTTCCACATTGATGGAAGACAGTAAAAGAAATATAGAGAACTAAAAAAATATATAGAGAGAGAGAACTATCAACATAGGACAAAGGTGATTTCAACAAAAGAGAGAATGAACTATTTTATAAATACCAAGATACCTGGTATTAGGGTGACCAGCTCATCCCAGCTTCCTGGGACTATCTTGGTTTTAGCACTGAAAAGTCCTATGCCCCAGAAAACCCATGAGTCCCAGGCAAACCAAGAAAGTTGGTCACCCTACCTGGTATCCAAATCCACAAAAATACTTCTATTCCTATATTGCAGCTCATGCAAAACCCAATCTCTCCCTTAAAGAAAACAAGATCAATTCCAGATGGTTTAAAGCCCTAAATGTGGGTAGCCAAGAATAAAATACAGACTATATCTTTCTGATCTTGGTATTGGGAAGAACTACTTTTTAAAAAGATTCATAAATCTGACTACATTAAAATATAAAAATGTGTCTAACAAGAGAAATAGAAACATATTCTACACAAAGACTTATCCATGAATATTTATAGCAGTGTGATTAATACTAGCCAAAAAGTAGAAGCAACCCAAATGTCTATCAACTGATGAATGGATGAACAAAATGTGGTATATCCATACAGTGGAAAATGATTTGACCATAAAAAGTGTGAAGTATTGAAACTGCTAAAACATGGATGAACTTTGAAAAGATGATGCTAAGTGAAAGGAGACAGACACCAAAGAACATATGCTGTATGATTCCATTTATGTGAAATGTCTAGAACAGATAAATTCACAGTCACAGAGACAGAAAGTAGAGCAGTTCCCTAGGCCTAGGGGATGGGTGCTGATGTGTACAGTTTCATTTTGCAGTGATAAACTGTTCTAAAATCATGGTGATGGTTGCACAATTGTATGAATAAACTAAAACCATTGACTTGCACCATTTAAATTGTGAGTTTATGGTGTGCAAATTATATCTGAATAAAACTTTTAAAAATGTGTTTAACAAAAGATCAGAAGTAAAATGAACAGATAGAACATACTGGGAGAAGATAATTACAAGGCATTTAACAAACAAAGAACATAAACCTAGAACATATAAAGAAAGAACTTACAAGAATATAATAACCAAAAGAAAAATAAACAAATGAAACAAAACATAATCCACTTGTGCTTCTACCAACAAGGATCGGATATGTGAAAGCTAAATATATAGCCTTCTAAATACAATACTGTACCCTAAAAAAAACCTCTTGCACATAGGCAAAAGGAGACCTGTATGAGAGGATTCACTGAAGCATTAATCTGATTGAGAAAAATGGAAAATATCTCTAAAGTTCATGAACAGAGAATGGATAAATATATTGCAGTGTAGTTATACAATGCAATACCATACAGCACTTAAATGCATGTACTGGAGGGGAAAAAAATTGTGGGGCACCTGGGTGGCTCAGTTGGTTAAGCATCCAACTGTTGATTTGGGTTCCGGTCATGATCTCAGGATTGTGGGATCGAGCTCCGAGTTGGGCTCCATGCTCAGTGTGGAGTCCGCTTGGAATTCTCTCTCCCCTCTCCCCATCCCCGCCCTCTCTCTCAAATAAAAAAGTAAATAAGATCTTTAAAAAAAAAAAAAAAGGTACACGGCACCTGGGTGCTTCCGTCGGTTAGGCGTCTGCTCTCAGCTCAGGTCATCATCCCAGAGTCCTGGGATTGAGTCTCACTTGGGCTCCCTAGGGAGCCTGCTTCTCCCTCTGCCTCTTTCTGTCTCTCTCTCTGTTTCTCATGAATAAATAAAATCTTTAAAAAAAGGCACACAGCAAACTTTTAACTGTTTCAATGTATAACCTCCTTGATTTTTTTTTTCTCAGCATGCTTTTGAGACTTACCCGCATTGATAATACATAGTAGAGGCAATTTTTAAGAAAAGAAAAAGGAAATATGTTTTTTAAGCCCTTGTATTATCTTTCTTAAAATTCTGCTTCATGGCCTTCTGGCATTTTGTTTTATCAAAGAAGTCATGCTGATGCTGAATTTCTTAAAAATAAACTTTTTTTCCTTTCTAGAGATTGAAGAATTTTTTCCTCTTTGTAGCTCAGAAATTTACCAAAATATATCTAACTATGGGGCTCCTTTTACTGACTAGCTCTTAAACATGGTGAGCAACTATTTTAGCTTCCAGCAGCCTTTTCTTCTACTGTAACAATAACAAGACACTCAGGTTAAAAAATTGACACAAAATATATTTTTTGCTTTTTTTAAGAACACATTACCTCATTGAGAAATATTCTTTTAAAAAATAAGACATGGAAAAAATGTCAAAGCTTAAATAAAGATTGTATTATTTAATTCACAGTGTAATTTCCAGTTCTCTTAGAATCTTGTGTCAAATTCATCCTTTCTTTTTCTCTTTGATTTTTCATACCCATTGTGTACTGATGTTTTCTGCTTACAAAAGAAGCCTGAGAAGTCAGGCAGTATTAATGCTCCTGCAGCGAGAACACCCTCCAGATGCCTCTTAAGTTATTTTTGTTTCAAGAAACCATTATTTACTGAAACTGGCATCATGAAAGCAACAAGTCAGAAGAGTTCTTGCATTTCTAATGACTTTGCATTAAGGAGAAACAGAGCTGCACACACACACGCACAATTACTGAAAATCCATAAAGCAAACGTGCTAAAACTAGGCTGAATTACTCTTCTAAAATGGTGGAAAGAGTGGAGAGGAAAGCTATAATAAAAGAAATAGAAGAGTACAGGAGCAATAGTCAGATAAAGCAAACTCAAATAACCAATATAAAAAGTCCATTTTGAAATCAGTGGGGAACTAAAAGCATTCCTCCTGAAAGCAAGAACAAGGCAAGGATGTCTATGCTTTCCCCTACTGTCTAACATTGTATTTTAGCTATCAGTTGATGCAGCTGGACAAGAGAAAACAATGTGAGGCCTAAGAATCAGAAGAGAAGTGTTAAGACTCTCCCTATCTGCAGAAGATACGAGATTATACCTGGAAATCCTAAGAGAATGGTTGCTAAATTAATGCAAACACAAAATAATTCAAAAGGAAGAAAGATACAGAATTGGTGTAAAAAAAGAATAGCCTTCAGAATATAAAGAACTCAGGCGCCTGGGTGGCTCAGTCGTTAAGTGTCTGCCTTCGGCTCAGGTCATGATCCCAGGGTCCTGGGATTGAGCCCCACATCGGGCTCCCTGCTCCGCGGGAAGCCTGCTTCTCCCTCTCCCACTCCCCCTGCTTGTGTTCCCTCTCTCGCTGTCTCTCTCTGTCAAATAAAATAAAACCTTTAAAAAAAAAAAGAATATAAAGAACCCTTACAACTCAAAAATAAAAAGACGAACCAATTTATAAGTAGACAAAAGAGGGACGCCTGGATGGCTCAGTCAGTGGAGGATCCAACTCTTGATTTCGGCTCAGGTCATGATCTCAGGGTTGTGAGATCGAGCCCCAAGTTGGACTCTGCGCTCAGCAGGGAGTCTGCTTAAGATCCTCTCTCCCTCTCCCTCTGCCCACCCCGCTCACTCTCTCTAAAATAAATAGATATATCTTTAAAACACACACATACACACACATTTAGGGGCGCCTGGGTGGCTCAGTCGTTAGGCGTCTGTCTTTGGCTCAGGTCATGATCCCGGGGTCCTGGGATCGAGTCCCCGCATCGGGCTCTCTGCTCTGTGGAGAGCCTGCTTCTCCCTCCTCCCTCTTGCTATCTCTGTCTCTCTCTGTCTCTCTCTCTCTCTCTCTCAAATAAATAAAATCTTTTTTAAAAATTTTAAAAAGACATTTAAATAAAAATCAAATTAAAAAGTAAAAGTAGGGGGGCACCTGGGTGGCTGTGTCGGTTACGCATCTGCCTTCGGCTCAGGTCACAGTCCCACGGAGCCTGCTTCTCCTTCACTCTGCCTACCACTCCCACTGCTTGTGCTTGTGCTCACTCTCTCTGTCAAATAAATAAAATCGTTAAATAAATAAATAAATAAATAAATAAATAAAAGTAGGCAAAAGATCTGAGTAGACAGGTCTCCAAAGAAGACATAGAAAGAGCTAATACATGAAAAAATACTCCATCTCATTAGCCATTAGCAAAATGCAAGTCAAAACCACAGTGAGGTACTACCTCCTACCCCGAGACAGTGAGAATAAAAAAGAGAGACACTAACAAGCGTCGGCAAGGATGTGGAGAAACCGAGTCCCTCCGGCACTGCTGGTTAGGAATATAAAACGGCGCGGCTGCTTTGGAGCACAGTTTGCGACTTCCTCAAAATGCTAAAAATAGAGTTACCATAGGAAAGCATTTCCACTCCTAAGTGTCTACCCAAGAGAAATAAAAACAAACATCCACAGAAAAAACTTGTACATGAACATGCACTGCAGAATTATTTATAACAGCCAAAAAGTGCAAATAACCCAGGGGCACCTGGGTGGCTCAGACAGTTAAGCGTCTGCCTTCAGCTCAGGTCATGATCCCAGGGTCCTTGGCTCGATCCCAGCATCGGGCTGTCTGCTCAGGGGGGAGCCTGCTTTTCCCTCTGCCTGCTGCTCCCCCTGCTTGTGCTCTCTTGCTCTCTCTGTCAAATAAGTAAAATCTTTAAAAAGCTATTAATCTAAATGTAAACTCTCAACTAGTGTAGACCACAGTATTATAATTTATTTTGCTAATATTTTAGCATCATACTTTTGGTTTTCTTTTTTTTTTTTAAGATTATTTGAGAGTGAGTGAGCAAGAGTTGAGGGCAGAGAGAGAGGGAGAAGCAGACTCCCTACTGAGTAGACAGCCCAGCGGGGCTCCATCCCAGGACCCCGAGATCATGAGCTGAGCTGAAGGCAGACGCTTAACTGACTGAGCCACCCAGGAGCCCTAATTTTGGTTTTTTTAAGAAAACCAGTCAGGGTCAATTTTTTTTCAAGAAAGGAAAGAAATTCTACTTGGTAATCTGGAGTTCCCTTTAAAATATTCCTTGATGCAGAATGATCTCAACTGACATGTAAATGTCTTGTTTCATGCAGTCTTACTGTTAGAAACCAAGAAGAACAGAGACCCAGGAGGCCCTCCCATGAACTCACACGAGAAGACCTTCCAACCTGTGAAGAAAGGTGAATCTCGTTGTTTAGCTCACTAAATTTTTAGACAGAAATGCCAGCCTTATTGTTTTGATTTTTCATCATTGTAACACAGTTTCTCTAACTGCAGTTTAATATCAAATAATAATGTGGCACCCCCTTTCCACTCTGTAGAGTTCATTGTGTGACAGGGAGAAAAATTAGTTTCATTATTAATTTCATCCCTGCTAATCACAAATATAAATTGAGGCTTCCTGACAAAATATGGCATTATCCTATTTTCATATGATAGACTTTTTTAAAATAAAAGACCATAATGAAACATACATGTTTGGTTTTCAGAAGGTTTTAAAAGTACATTTTTTTCTTAACTATATACTTTAGCTAATGTATTGTCTTAATTTAAGTATTTTGGGGAAAAAAAAGTTGGGAAGAAAACACAAATTACTTTCCATAATGTCAGATTTTTTTTAAAGATTTTATTTATTTATTTGCCAGAGAGAGAGGGAGAGTACAAGCAGGGGGAGTGGCAGGCAGAGGGAGAAGCAGGCTCCTTGCTTTAACAGGCTCCCCGCTGAGCAAGGAGCCCAATGTGGGACTCGATCCCAGGACCCTGAGATCATGACCTGAGCCGGAGGCAGATGCTTAACCATCTGAGCCACCCAGGCACCCCATAATGTCAGATTTTAAAATTATCTTTTTGTTCCTGCATTATCAGTTGGCTTACCTATTCTAATACCTTTTCTTGGTATTATACCTATATAATTACAGATACTGGACAAATATCCTGAAAACATTGTTCAAATAGGCCTAGTATTAAATTGCTAATTTTTGAAGGGAAAAAAACAAGTAGCCTAAAAGGCTACTTAATGTTTTTTTTTTTAAGATTTTATTTATTCGAGAGAGAGAGAGAATGAGAGAGAGAGCATGAGAGGGGCGAGGGTCAGAGGGAGAAGCAGACTCCCTGCTGAGCAGGGAGCCGGATGTGGGACTCGATCCTGAGACTCCAGGATCATGACCTGAGCCGAAGGCAGTCGCTTAACCAACTGAGCCACCCAGGCGCCCTTAAGAGTTTCTTTTTCATTCTTTATCTTATTTATCCTTACCAAGATTTTTCAAAGTCTGGGAAACATATTAAAATCTTCCACAATTTGGGGCGCCTGGCATACTCCATTGGAGGAGCATGAGACTCTTGATCCTCAGGGTCATGAGTTCAAGCCCCGTGTTGGGTGTAGAGATTTCTAAAAAAAAATAAGCAAAAACTTTTTAAAAATCTTCCACAATTTATGAGCTTGTTTAAAAATAGCCTTTATCAAGGGGCATCTAGGTGGCTCAGTGGGTTAAGCATCTGCCTTAGGCTCAGGTCATGGTGGGGAGTCTGCTTCTCCCTCTGCTCCTCCCCCAACTCTCTCTCTCTCAGATAAATAAATAAATCTCAAATAAATAAAAAATTTTAAAAAATTTTTAAATAGCTTTTATCTTGAGGCACCTGGCTGGCTCAGTTGGAAGAGCATGCAACTCTTGATCTCAGGGTTGTGAGTTCAAGCCCCATGTTGGGTGTGGAGATTACTGAAAAAAATAATTATTTTTAAAAATGGCTTTTATCTTATATATTCCGGTATGTTGTATTCTGTACTAAAGCTTTGAGGCTCTAATATCTGAAACCAGAATGCCTCATTGAGGCCTGACTCTAACCATCCTGCCAGTGGGACCTTGGGCACCCCGGGATCATGACCTGAGCCCAAGGCAGACGCTTAACCGACTGAGCCACCCAGGTGCCCCCAGATTCCTCTTGTATAAGAATATCAGTCCTAGGGGTGCCTGGGTGGCTCAGTCGGTTGAGTGGCTGCCTTCCGCTCAAGTCATGATCTCATGGTCCTGGGATAGAGCCCCACATCGGGCTCCCTGCTCAGCGGGGAGTCTGTCCCTCTCCCACTCCCCCTGCTTGTGTTCCCTCTCTCACTATCTCTCTGTGTCAAATAAATAAATAAAATCTTTTAAAAAAGGAGAGTATCAGTCCTACTGGATGAGGGATCATCTTAATCACCTCATCTTAATTTAGTTAAATCTACAAAGACTCTATTTCCAAATCTAGTCACATTCTGAGGTACTAGAGTTAGGACATCAGCATATCTTTTTTAGGGGACATTATTCAACTCACAATACCCTCCTATAAAATAAACACTAGATCCAGTGGGTTTTGCAGATTGGTTCCACAAAGCAGTTCTGGAATTAATCATTCCAAGGTTATACAGGTCGTGTATAACTACCCAAATGTCTAAGAAATCAGTTCAACAGGGATACCAAAACCAGATGAGGATAGTACAAGAATGGAAAGTTGGAGATAAATCCTGCGTGCTCAGGAACTCTGGCCACATACAGCCACGTGGGCTCTTAGACACTTAGTGTTGGGTGATGAAAGCAAGTGGCAGAAGACAACATGGAGTCAGCCATTTTTATAAAGTGAAGGAAAAAAAAACCACTGAAGGATAGATACTCTTCAGGGATACCTACCTACATAAAAACAATGAAAAGAAAGGTAGGGGGAAAGAAATTATTTAATAGGGATCATTGTTGGACAGACGAAGCTTTCTGACCTCAATATAATTAAAATATAAGTAAAAATAAACTAAACCAGGGTGAGTCCAAAGTCAAGCCGAGCAGTGCCTCAGGGTGGGGGAGTCAGGAGAGCAGGGTGCGGCCATGGGACCACGGTAGGCACAGCTTGTGGTAACCAGCCGGTTCTCACGGTGAGTGCTGAACTATAATGTGTGTTTGTTATCACCCTTTATAGCTTGCAGTTATATAACGTAATCTTTCCACAGCCGCATGGCTGCTCTGCAAGGTGGTGTGCTGAGGTCTGACGTACTTCTGTCACAGTGACTGGGAAGTCTTGGTCAGTTGCTTCTAGGATTTTTCTTCACTGTTACAGTTATAAAGCTTTGCCAGGACTCATCGAGATGTGAACAAGTACGCTCTTGGCAGTTCTTCTAGAGATCAGCCTGCGAGCATTTGGCCAGCAGCCATGCACTCCAGCTGAACAACCTGAAGGGATCGCACTTGTGTGTTTTTGCCAAAGGCCAATGGAAACGGGCACAGCCCTCTCCCTTCCTAAAAGGGCCGAGGTGCACATTTTCATCCTCAGAAGGGAAAAGGGTTTGTTTCTAGTGAGGAAATGCAAAGTAATTACCAATAACCTAGCTCCCTCTGGCCCCTTCCTTTCTGTCTCCACTCAGCCCAAGTCCCACTCTGGAGGAGGTCAATGCCTGGGCTCAGTCCTTCGACAAGGTAATGCTCACTCCAGCGGGAAGGAATGCTTTCCGGGAATTCCTCCGGACAGAATTCAGTGAAGAAAATATGCTTTTCTGGATGGCATGTGAGGAACTGAAAAAAGAAGCTAATAAAACCATCATTGAAGAGAAAGCAAGGATAATCTATGAAGACTACATTTCTATTCTTTCTCCTAAAGAGGTACGTACCCTGCAAGGGGCTTCCTCCCAGGAGGCTGTTGGTAAAGTGAACCCCGTCAGTGTTGGGTCACCCGGGCACAGTGACAGCTATTCCAAGACAGAGATGACCACTCCACCCGCACTCGTAGTATCCAGATGCCAGGACTGTGGTCCCACAAGTGGGCTCTCAGTGGCCCCTGAAATCTGTGAAAGTTTTTGTGCCTCTTTCTGGAGAAAGTATTCCTGACTTTCACCAGATTCTCCAGAAGGGGGAGTCTATGCATTTTACTGTAAACACCGTTTAAAAACATTATACCCGGGGCGCCTGAGTGGCTCAGTCATTAAGCGTCGGCCTTCGGCTCAGGTCATGATCCCAGGGTCCTGGGATGGAGCCCCGCATCGGGCTTCCTGCTCAGCCAGGAGCCTGCTTCTCCCTCTCCCGCTCCCCCTGCTTGTGTTCCCTCTCTAGCTGTGTCTCTCTGTGTCAAATAAATAAATGAATAAATCTTAAAAAAACAAAAACCATTATACCCTGTAAGCATTCCTTTAAATAAAATCATCCTTTTATTCTGAGCACCAATTATTTTTTACAGGTATTTTTATTTGAATAGAAATAGCCTCGCTAATATAACACAGAGGTTTTACCTGGGGTGTCCTTCCCTTAGAGCAGAGAGACTGTCGGGGGACATCAGTCAAGCTTCCATCCCGTAGTTTTTGTTCCTTCAAATCTAAAATCTATGGGGTCAGGGTGATCTCAAAACCAAGCTCCTTTCTTACATTTTTTGAAGGTTTATTTATTTGAGAGAGATGGTACGAGTGAGTGGGGGAGGGGCAGCGGGGGGGGGAGAGAGAGAGAGAGGGAATTTCCAGCAGACTCCCTGCTAAGCATGGAGTCCCGACACGGGGCTCGATCTCACGACCCTGAGATCATGACCTGAGCCAAAACCAAGAGTCAGAAGTTCAACTGACTGCGGCACCCAGGCAACCCTAGCTCCTTCTTTAATTCCAAGTAGAATTCCAAATTCTTTACATTCTTGAGTGGAATAGTAAGGTAGACCAGGGTTATTCATGGAGGCAGATCGTAAAGACCTCCTAAGTTTAAACTTTGGACTTACCCTGAGTGCATGGCCAAGTCAGTGCCAGGTCTGAAGTTGGAGTGTCAGAATGGGTTTGTACTTTAGAAAGAGCCCTCTGACCAACCAGTGGGGCGATTTGGAGGGGCACTCAGCAGGCAGGAGACCAGTTAGGAGGCCAGTGAACCAATCTTGGCAGAGAAGAGGGACGAGGTGCAGAGACCTGAGAGGGGTTAAAGAGGCAGGGTCCCCGAGACTTTATGACTGACTACAGAGCCAGAGGGAAAAGGAAGGATGAGAAGGACTTGGAATTGGATGGAAATAAATAGTTCTCTTCCTTCACAAGCTTCACAAGAAAGAGATCTGGAGATGCAATCTGTGTTGAATGTAGAGTTAGCCTTTGAACAGCACGGGGTTGTGGGCACTGACCCCACACAGTCGATAGTCTACGTATAACTTTGACTCCCTGAAAACTTAACTACTAAGAGCTTACTGCAGGGGCGCCTGGGTGGCTCAGTCGTTAAGCGTCTGCCTTCGGCTGAGGTCGTGATTCCAGGGCCCTGGGATCGAGCCCCGCATTGGGCTCCCTGCTCAGTGGGAAGCCTGCTTCTCCCTCTTCCACTCCCCCTGCTTGTGTTCCCTCTCTCGCTGTGTCTGTCAAAAAATAAATAAAATCTTAAAAAAAAAAAGGAGCTTACTCTTGACCAGAAGCCTGACATCAGCTAATTGATTAACACGTGCTTTGTATATGTATTCTATACTGTATTCTTACAATAAAGTTACAGGAAAGAATTGTTACTCCGAAATCATAAGAGAAAAATGCACTTACAGATTTTATAAAAAAAAAAAAAATCCACTATGAGTGGACCCATGCAATACAAATGCATGTTGTTCAAGGTCAACTGTATTGAGTTACCTGTGTGTGGGCACAAGGGGCTTTCCAGGAGGAAAATGGGTATATGCATCTGGAAAGATAGATCACTGAAGTCAATATTTACTGATATAGCTAGTCATATTTTCAGGTTTATACGAAAGAAGAGTGTGTGCATTGTATAGCATCAACACTGTCATGGCCTCCTGGGGCCGAGCTGGTCCGGCTAAGGTTCTTCGCACAGAAGAGATGTCTGTGTGTGCATCTCTGCAGCCTGTAGTCTTGTTTATCTGGCATCCTACAGGGAGAGTCTGAGCCCAGGAGCTTGCTCTGGTCTGAGACAGCCTTTTCTAGGATGAGCAAAACATCAGAGAAAAAAAGCCAACTTCTTCTTAAGGAACCTAATGAACTCCAAGGACTTTAAATTAATTCTCATTAAATCCCACCAATTACCATCTCCATTATCCCCTTTATGGAGGAGTTCATTAGGGTGCAGCTTACTTTTTGCCCCAAGCCCCACAACTAAGCAGTGACATAGCTGGGACTTAAACACGTGCCCTGTACTCTTAACTCTTCCACGGTGCTCTGAGTTAGCATCCACTCACCAGCCAGCCTGACGCTCATTCCCAGAAATCTGCGACTGTGTTCTAGCTGGCTACAGCCTGGGACTTCCGGGGTTTAGCCCTAATGCTATTAGGAAATTAGCAAGGGGTAAGTCTGTGCATGCTACTTTTTTCTTCAAAGGACACAGTAAAAATCATTTTAAAGAAAGAGAATAATGTTGTGGTTTTCTTAAAGCAGTGTGATCCCCACCAGCGCTACCTAGAACTTGTGACAAATACACATTTTCAGGCCCCTCCCCAGACCCACCGAGTAGGAAACTCTGCAGGTGGGGGCCAGCAATCTGTTTAACAGGCATTCCATGGCCTTCTGACACTGCTGAAATTCGAGAACCCCCTGTTCATTATGTGTTCAGTTTCTTTTTCAGCAATTTAGATTTTTGGATGACTTTGTTTGGTTTGGGATTTTTAAAAAACAGAACAAGCCATGGTGCACTGAGGGTGGATTTCCAAAGAGAAATATGTCTAATACCACTCTTATGTGTGTCTACTGACAGGTCAGCTTGGACTCCCGAGTAAGAGAAGTCATCAACAGGAACATGGTGGAGCCATCCCAACACATATTTGATGATGCACAACTCCAGATCTATACCTTAATGCACAGAGACTCCTATCCCCGGTTCATGAACTCTGCCCTCTATAAAGATCTGCTTCAGTCCTTAGCTGAGAAATCGGTTGAAGCATAGGATGTTATCAAATATATTTATTATTAATAAAATAATAAAAGAACTGATGGACTACATCTAGTACAGGGAACTTAGAGATAGTAGTACCTTCTGCTAGAGTAATACTTGGGCTGTTTTAATAAACAGATGCTTGCTTTTACAGAAGACTAGTCACAGTGTAAACCGTGGCCACCTGTAGTGATACTTTTGAAAAAAAAATGGGGTATGCCTGTCTTAGAAAAAGATAGGATATTTACATTTACGGTCACCGCAGCATGTTGTCAATGGCAAAGGTTACTCTGGAAGACTACTGCCTGGGGCATACACATCCTCTGGAGCCAAACGGACCGCCTTTGTTTTGCATGAGTGCAGTTATTGGATGACTCTCCTCCCAAGGAAAAGGCGTTCGGGTGTTTCTTAGCAACTCCTTCCTTCCGTCCAGCTGTTTTGAGTATTTTGCTTCTCAGTGCTATCACAGGACCCAAATTCCCATTTTATAAAGATGTGTCACCACTACTCATAAAAATGGAATTTCATTTTTATCTTAGAATCCATGTATGTATGTGCACGTGTGTCTGTAATGGTTAATGAAAGTACTGTGCTCTTAAGTGGGTCAGTCGCACCTGTTTGGTAAGAAAGTAGTGTTTAGAAAATTCTTTTGTTGAAAAGTTACCATGATTTTATTATCATAATCTGCCAACCTAAAGAATGAATTTTTAATTCACAACTTAGTCGCGTTCATAACAACTTTCAAATGAGCATATTTCCATTTTTATTATTCAAAGAAATATGGGCATTTTCAGTCTAAAAAAATAAAGCACAAGAGTTTTATCTCCATTTTTATTCCACATGTTAAATATTGGGGACTATAAGATGAAGTAAGTAGGGAGATATGCAAGGTATCATTTTAGGTACCAGACTAGGATTCTGATTTTAGATCCCACTATTTTTTTTTTTTTAAGATTTTATTCATTCGTCAGAGAGCACAAGCAGGGGCAGAGGGAGGAGCAGGCTCCCCGCGAGCAATGAGCCCGATGTGGGACTCGATCCCAGGACCCCGGGATCATGACCTGAGCTGAAGGCAGATGCCCAACTGACTGAGCCACCCAGGCGTCCCTAGATGCCACTATTTTTAACTGTAGGCAAACGAAATAACTTTTAACAGCTTCCAGGTAAAACTAGTGGTTTGTATCCCTGAGTCATCCTGAAGAAACCCATCACTGCAGTGAATGGGAAAGACATCCAAAATCTGGAACGGTTTGAGTAGTGGGTTAGAAATTACGTGCAAGGGGTCCACGGCAGGCTTCACCCTATTGGGGGGGGGGCTCTTTCCTCCTGGTTACCCTCACCTGGCCTGATGATTACTTCATTACTCTCTTCAAGCCCCAGACTAAGCCCCTTGCCCTCATTCTCAGTGAAACATCTTACTTCCTACTTTATGGTGAAAATGGGTCCCCACCAGCTTCATCTTCCCATGTAACCTACAAATAAGACTGAATGGGCATCTGTTCTCACCTCCATCAGTCCAGTCCCAGGGAATAATGTGCTCTTTCCTCCTTTTCAAGGCATCAACCCCTTACATGTGCTTTTAATGCCATAGTCTACAGCTCATTTTTCACTAGACAGAGGACATAATTGTGATTGAGGTTATAAACTCTGCCCTCTGGTTTACATTTAAGTAAGGATGACAGGTGTTCATGGCCACTACAGTATACTTAGCAAGTACTGTAACAGGGAGGAACTGAGCCAGAGAAGTCTTGGGCTACAGAAGATTTTGGCAGAGGGTGGGGGAGCAGAGGTGTAGGGAAGGCATTTGTAATTGAAGCAACCCCAGATGAGTCTAGTTGCAGACATGAAGTGTATGAAGTGTCTGTAAGACAGATAAAAGATGTCAAGACATCAGTTGGACGGAGGGACCTGGGTGGCCAAGATTTTAGGCTGGAGTATTTGGGATTTTTCAACACAGATGAGTAAGACTGCTGGGAGAGTTCTAGCATGAAAAGAGCTGAAGGTAAATCCTGGCATCAATGGACCAAGAAACAAAGAGTTTCCAAAGAAAATTTAGAAGGATTTGCCTTCTCAGTTAGGGTAAGAAAGTGGGGATGTGGCAGCAAATGAACGGGTTGGGGGCACATAGTGGTCAATTAAACGCTCTTACCTGGAACTCCGCTCCCTCTATACCCCCACGTTCCCGTGTCTTCAACTTCACCTTGGGTTTTTCCCATGCCACCACGTGCAAACTCGGGTTCCCCAACTAAAAACAAGCCTGTGTCACATAACTGCTGACCCCCCTTCCTCTCTCAGCAGACTCGGCAGGAGTGCCGTCTCCATTTGCTCATCTCCGCAGGCGCTCCTTGAACCTCGGCAGCGCACCCACCCCCCGTGGCGGGGTCTCCACCAGCCCAAACCTGATACCGTGTTCAGGGTTGACGGCCCAGCTCCCTGACACTGACCCTGCCTCACCGGAAACACTACTTCCTTGTCTTCCGTGCTGCTCTCGCTGTTCTCAGGGTCCTCCTCCTCTCCCTCCGCTCCCTTCCCAGCCAGTGGGGCACAGCAGCGAAGTGTCTGGGCTCTGGAGCCAGACCGACTCCTGCTCACGGCCTGAGGGTGGGTACGTAGTCTTCGTGGGCCTGTTTCCTTGTCTATACAAACGGGGATAATAATGGTACCTTATCCCTAGCATTGCTGTGCAGATTTGTCCCCCCAAAGGAGGCAGAAGTTCAGGGAGTACAGTGAAAGGGAGCGGTGGGCAGGACAGCCAAGGAGAGACTGCCAGCTTGCTGTGCAGATTCAAACTAACGCATGTGGGGGCACCTGGCTGGCTCAGTCAGCAGGGTATGCGATTGGTGATATCAGGGGTGTGAGTTCGAGCCACGTGTTGGGTGTAGAGATTATTTAAAAATAAAATCTTTAGGGGCGCCTGGGTGGCTGCCTTTGGCTCAGGTCATGATCTCGGGGTCCTGGGATGGAGCCAACACGCTCATGGCTCCCAGATCAGGACCTGGGGTACACTTCCTGCCGCTTTTCATAATCAGCTGCCAGGTTGACATCTCCCCTTGCATATCCCAGAGAGGAGTGAGATTCATCTAAATTCTGACTTGTCATCCTGCTGCCCCCCTCCCTTCAAGCCCCACCCCTGCCTAAGTCCCCAATTACTCAGCCAGTCGCCTAAGCTCTTCTCTAGGTGCTAACTTCTCCCTTCTTTCTCCTTGCAGACAGTCACCAAGCCCTGCTGATCTTAACTCTGAAATATTTCTCATGTTGTCTCTCCTTCTGATCCCCATTACCTCACACCTGCCAGTATCATTGCCAAGAGCCTCCTAACTGGTCTCCCTGCCCCCATCTCAGCCTTTCAAATCCACCTTTCAAAATGCCACAAGGTGATGTTTCTCACGCGCAAATCTGCTCGTCACCCTCCATCCACTCCTTAGAATCTTCAGTAATTCCTGACTGCCCAGAGTACAAATACCAAATTCTTGGTATGGGATACAAGCAAGGGCCTCTATATATATAGTTGGGCTACTGGCTTCCTAGCCAACCCCACAGAGGGTTTAGACTCTAGAATATATACTTATAGACAAGTATATATTCATCCTTTCATAACTGCTCATACTGTTCATACTTTCTGCTACCCCTACCCCTCTCTAAAATGCCACCCTCCACTCAGCAAACTCCTGTTTAAGATTTACCTCACACATCACTGCCTCCAAGAAACCTTACCTGACCTCCTGATTCATACTTCCATTGCACTGGGTGCCATTCTCAGGTATTCCAGGATTTTCCAGTAGAATACTTATCATCTGAGTTTGCAAATTATGTTGACATACCTGTCTTTCCCATTAGACTATAAGCTCCAGAGGCATTGAAAATATACCTCATCCCTCATTATATAAATATATAATTATGGAACAAAAATTCCATTCAAAATTTATTTCACAATGTGTCACATCTCAGAAAGAGATCATTACAACCCACGTGGCTATAGAGCTCACTGCCACTACATATCAGTCCAGTGGGTAAATCACTAGTGACTTCTACGTATATGAAAGAATCCTGAAGCAGCCCCAAAGGATCCTACAAATTCAATGCAATTCTAAGGTTTTTAAGAATTCTTAAGTAAACTTCGAAGAGCTTAATTTGTTGGGAAGGATGGTGCTCCTTTTGGGGGGGAAAATGGATATATAAACAAATATAAGTTCCAAACCGTTTAAAAGCTTTTATAAAAGAGAACATTATAAGAATATTGGAAGAAAACGTAGGCAATATTTTTATAACTTCAGATGGAAAAGGTCTTCCTAAGCAAAACATAAAACCCAGAAACCATAAAATACTAATAGATTGGATTATATGAAAAATTAAATTCTGTGCCACAAGACAACATAAAAAGAATTAAAACACAAATATCAGGCTATAAAACACACTAAAAATTACTATGCAGCATGCATTAGGAATGCCTACAAACTAACAAGACAAGTCTATAGACTAAAAAGGAAAGAATAAAAACAGAAGATCAACTGGCTATAAACAAAAAAAAGATGAGCATAATAAATACAAAAAGATAATCATACGAACTTGAATTAAAACGAGAAGATACTGGTTACTATTTGCTCCCTAGATTTGCCCAAACCAAAAGGTTTGATAATATCTAGTATTAGCAAAAGTGTCAAGAAATGGGCCTTTATATCCTGTTGACAGGTAAACTAGTTTGACTTTTTGGAAAGCTATCAGGCAATATCTATTATTCTGAATGTACATATCCATCAGCTAGCCAGCTAAACTTTTAAGAATCTATCCTACAGGGGCGCCTGGGTGGCTCAGTCATTGAGCGTCTGCCTTCAGCTCAGGTCATGATTCCAGGGTCCTGGGATCGAGCCCCGCATCGGGCTCCCTGCTCCGTGGGAAGCCTGCTTCTCCCTCTCCCACTCCCCCTGCTGTGTTCCCTCTCTCGCTGTGTCTCTCTCTGTCAAATAAATAAAATCTTAAAAAAAAAAACAAAAAACTACCCACAGGGAAACAGTCTTTAAAGGAAATGTTATACATGCGCATAGACTGCTCTCTGGTGAAAATGAATCCCATACATCTATACGCACTCATAAGGAGTGTTCTCAGGTCAACTGTTAAAGGAAAAAAACAAATTGTATGATATGTATGTGTGCCTATTTATGTTAACATTATGGCCATTTGAGGGGCACTTGGCTGGCTCAGTTGGTGGAGCATTCAACTCCTGATCTTGGGGGTCATGAGTTCAAGCTCCATGTTGGGCACACAGACTACTTAATGAAAAAATGTATTTTTTTTAAATGGCCATCCTAAAAAAATTCCCTCATTGACTGAGCTGGGTACTGTTTCAAGGTATTTACAAATTATTGTTTGGCCCTTCTTAGTCACAATTCTAAGGTAGGATGGTGTTCCCCTTTACAGAGGTTAAGTTCCTTGTTCCAAGTGTCACAGCTCTTAACCACTATGCAATGCTGATTCCCTAGGAAAGAGGACTAGAAAGCCCAGTATGTGCACGTACACACACAGAGACACAGAGAAAATTACAGAGCCAGGGAGATCATTTTCTTTAGTTCATGATTTTGACCTAAAAGACAAAGGTAATAAAACCAGTTTCATAGGTGGTAGTTAAAAGTAGCCTTGACCAATCTCCTTTGCCCTCATGACTCATAAAGGCTCTGGAGATTTTATTAAACATAACATGACAAACATTTATTAAAAATCAGCCTTCA